GCGTCGTCATAGGGGGCCCAGCGGTGCTGTACACTCGGCGCTCCAACTCCCGCGTGACTGGTTGGTGGCGTGTCGCGTGCGGGCGTCCTCGCATGCTTGCGCGATCACGTCGGAATGGTGCTCTCCCCTTTCGGTGGCCACGTTTTGTTTCGATACTCAAGAGGCTCATGCATTCCGCCGACCCGCAGGAAGCTTTTTCATGTTCTGATATTGTTTTTCGCGATACGTGTCAGGGCAGGAATGCCGCATGGCCAGCCACCGGCTTTCCCCAACCACAGCCCTGGCAAGATACCTTCCCAAGCGCGGGTAGCACACTCCCGAGATGTTCAGCCGAATTTGTTCTTGCTGATTGACGGAGTGATCCCTGCTTCCCGAGGGAGGGTTCGGACCATGAGTGATATTAATTGAGCGAATTCTGGGCACGCGTCGCAATTTTCTTTGACGGGGCAAGTAGATTGCAAGCGGGGACCCCGTGGGCCCAGGATAGCCGGATTATAATTCTCGTGCTTTTAAAAATGGGACTTATCAGTTTGTTTTGTTTTTCCGGCGCCGAGGGTTTCGTAGCATTCTGAGGCCATTTGAATCGCGCGGATGTGCTCGGCGCCGAGAGTTTCGTGGAATGGTGAGATTTTTTGAGTCGCGCGGATGCGTTCGGCGCCGAGTGTCTCCTGGCATTGTGAGACCTTGTGAAACGCGCGAATGCGTTCGGCTCCGCGGGTTTCGTGGCACCGCGAGGCCATGTATGTATTGCGGACGTGCTCGGCGCCAAGGGTTTCGGGGCATTGTGAGACCCTTTGAATCGCGCGAATGCGTTCGGCGTTGAAGGTTTCGTGGCAGTGCGAGGCCACGTGAGTCGCGCGGATGTGCTCGGCGCCCAGGGTTTCCGGCCATTGAGACCCGTTGAAATGCTCGAATGCGTTCGGCGCCGAGGGTTTCGTGGCATCGCGAGGCCATGTGGGACTCGCGGATGGGCTCGGCGCCGAGGGTCCCGGGGCGATTTTAAAGCCTTGAAAACGCACGACTGCGTTCGGCGTTGCGGGTTGTGGCATTGTGAGACTCGCGGATGTGCTCCGCGCCGAGATCTTCGGGGCGATTTGGAACCTTTTGAGACGCGCGACTGCGTTCGGCGCCGAGGGTTTCGTGGCGCTTTGAGACCATGTGATACTCGCGGATTTGCTTGGCGCCGAAGATTTCGGGGCACTTTGAGACCCTTTGCGATTGTTTGAGACCGCTTCGACACCGCCATCGGGCGCGCCCGGTGTGCGAATTTATACCAAGTCGTGCAGATTTTGTTATCCATCCGATTCAATTTCCATAATATCAGATAAGGAATCGGACAGTCTTAAGGCGGTTCGAGCGCGGACGGGGCCGCCGCCGAGGGGATGGGGCCGCCGCCCAGGCGCGATCCAACCGGTGCAGAATGTTATTCAACCTTTTGGCCGTGCGTGCAGCGCCTGATGTGAGTGGCGCCAGTTGACGTTTACATGATGCGTATTCAAATTCTTCCGTGCGAAAAGTGGAACATTTCGTTTCCATTTTTTTCTCGGGCTGTATGCGTCGCGGCGCGCGTTTTCTGGCCACGCCGCTCGGGAAACGATATAAGAATGTGTGAATACTATATGTTCGGGGTCGGACGCGCGCCCCCAAGGAGGACGCGTAATGTTCGCATGTCTCTGTGCGTCCCACTGGGAGTCATTTGGTCCGGCCGCGCCTCAGCCACAGGAGACTTTCTCTCGCCCGCCCACGCAGCTTCGTCTCGCCCGCACGCACGGCACGCACGAACACGAAACCGACATCGATTTCACGGTATGGGGGCTCTCCGTTCCACTTCGATCTCATCCCCTCACCTCCGATTCCAATGTCTCTGTGCGTCCCACTGGGAATGGTTCCCGGTTTCCGGCCCGCTCGTGCCTCCAAGGACGCTATATACGGGTCGGACGCGCGCCTCCAAGGACGACGTATAATATTCGAAAGAGCGTGTTCTACCGCTGCTGGCGGAAAACCGGGGGGGGTCACTACCGGTTCGAACCCCTCCCCCCCCCCCCCCCCCCCCCTCCGTAAAACCGTGGGGGGCCCTACCCGTTTCGAACCCCTCCCCCCCCCCCCCCAGCTTCATCATGAAAAGGGGGTGGGTTCACTACGGTTGCGTAACCCCCCCCCCCGCCCCTCGAAAACCGAGTGGGGGTGCGGACAGTGGTGGGGACGGTGTTGGCGGGGACAGTGGCGAGGGGACAGCGGGACAGTGGTGGGGACAGCGGGGGGACAGTGGGACAGTGGTGGGGACGGTAGTGGTGGGGACAGTGGTGGGGACAATGGTGGGAACAGGGGGACAGTGGACAGTGGTGGGAACGGTGGTGGTGGGGACAGTGGTGTGGGGACAGTGGGAATGAGGTGGAAACACTGGGACAGTGGAGGGTACAATTGTGGTGGAGACACTGGTAAAGGCGGTGGCGAGGACGGCGGTGGGACAATGGGACAGAGGTACAGTGGGGACACTGGTGGGGACAGTGGGGACAGTGGTGGAAACAGTGGGACAGCTCAGTGGGACAGCGGAGGAGTCAGTGGGACAGTGGGGACAATGGGGATAGGCAGTGGTTGGGTCCGTGGAGACAGTGGGGAGAGTGGAACCGTGGTGGGAAAAGTTGTGGGAACAGTGGGGACAGTGCGACAGTGGTGGGGGCATTGGTGGGGACAATAGGGACGGTGGTGGAACCAGTGGGGACAGTGGTGGTGAGGACAGTGGTGCTGGGAACAACAGTGGGGGATGTGATGCGAGCGGTGGTAGGGACCGGGAGTCGTTTGCTGGCGGTGCGTGGGGGGGGGTCGAACCGGTAGTGATCCCCCTCCGGTTTTCGAGGGGGGGAGGGGGGGGGGGGTCCAACCGTAGTGACCCCCCCGTTTTTCCGGAATCCTTTTAAGGTGGGGGGGGGGGGGAGGGTTCGAACTGGTATGCCCCCCCAGGTTTGTCGAGGGGGAGGTGGGTGGGGGGGGGAGGGTTAAGGGGAAGGGGGGGTTTTTGCCGGGAGGGAGGGGGGGGGGCGGGTGGGGTCGAGGGGGGGGGGGGATGGTGGAGGGGGGGGGGGGGGGGGAGGGGGGGGGTGGGGGGGGACGGGGTTCCGGAAGGGGGAGGGGGGATTTTTCGCGGAGGGGGGGGGGGGGGGGGGGAGACCCCCGGGTTCCGGAGGAAAAGGTTGGCAATTTTCCACAGTAAAGCGGCGGTGGATCACGCTCGCTCTAATATTCGCATGTCTTTGTGCGTCCCACTGGGAATGGCTCCCGGTCTCCGGCCCGCTCGTGCCGGCTCCTGCGTGGCCGAGGCCCCCCGGCCGCGGCCGGGAAGTTCGCCGTGGCCCGGAGAGCCTTGCGGCTCGGGGGCGGCAGGGCAGGGGCTGTCCCACCACCACCACCGCAGGTCGGGCGGGGAGAAGGAAGAACGGGGAGGCCCTCCTCCTCCTCCTCCTCCTCCTCCTCCTCCTCGTCCTCGTCCTCGTCCTCATCTTCTTCCTCCTCCTCCTCCTCCTCCTCCTCGTCCTCGTCTTCTTCCTCCTCCTCCTCCTCCTCCTCCTCCTCCTCCTCCTCCTCCTCCTCCTCCTCCTCCTCCTCTTCGTCCTCTTCGTCCTCTTCCTCTTCCTCCACGTCCTCCTACCCATGGCAGTGGTGGTGGACATCGGCCCATCAGAAAAGAGGGGGGTGAGGACCTGGTGGATGTGGTTATCATGGCGGGGGCGCCATGATGTTTCCGCAGATTTCACGGCGCCTCGTCTCATCTGAATGCGTCCCCAGCCCCCTTTCCCCCCCCCGGGCCGCGCACGTGCCGTTGGCGCCATGATTTGCGCCCCCCCCCCCATCCCTCTGGGACGCCCCCTCTTGAACGCCCCCGATTAGTTCCGTATGGCAGTGCGAAGCACAGCGTCGGGACCCTCGTCCTCGCGGCGTTGGCCTCCTCTCGTCTTCAGTGGAGCAAGCCAGGACATGCACGTAACAACTGGGGAAGTCCGCGCATGTTTCTTTCTCGGGTCGGCGCTGGGGCCCCATGGCGTTGCCTCCGCTGCCGCCCCTGGCGCGCTCCGCGCGCCAGGGAGGGAGGTCCGGCACCCATCCGAGAAATCCGCGCGGGCGGCCTCCGAGCTTTTGTGTTGATGGCATTGTTCGCTCCCCCACTTCTTGCCTTCGTCGGGCGGGGCCAGGACGAGAAGACGTCCGGTCCAGAGCGCGTTTCGGGGCGCTCCCAGGGCGTTCCCGAACGCTCTCTGTGAAGGCCGCGGCGCCCGAGACATTTTCCGGAGAGCCGCCAGATGTCACAGATGCTGGACTTGCCTTCGCCCGATGCTGTCGTCGTCCTGGCTGCGTCTTGGCCCCTCCGCCCCGCCCCGGCCAAGGGCAGGCACGGCCCCTCTCCCGCGGCGCCTCCTCCTCCTCCTCCTCCTCCTCCTCCTCCTCCTAGCTCTCCTCCTCCTCCTCCTCCCCCTCCTCCTCCCCCTCCTCCTCCTCCTCCTCGCTGCTCCTGCTCCTCTCTGCTCCTCCTCTCTCGTGCTCCTCCTCCTCTCTCCTCCTCCTCCTCCTCCTCCTCCGCCCTCCTCCTCCATCTCCTCCTCCTCCTCCTCCTCCTCCTCCTCCTCCTCCTCCTCCTCCTCCTCCCCCTCCCTATCCGGCTTGCGTCCGTGACAGCTCGCACCGCCGCAGTCCGTCGTCTTGCTGAGCGCGCGCGCGGACCGACCCCGCCGCGCTGCGACGACGTCAAAGGTGTTCCCCTCGGCCTGGCCCTCTTCTCGGGCCGGACGAAAGGGGGGGATTGGGAAAGGGGGGGAAGGGGGGGATTGGGAAAGGGGGGAAAGGGGGGGTTACAGCCCCACCGAGGGGCCCATTCCTAGATACATAGCCGCCTCCTGCGCCGGGAGGCGCCGGGAAAATCAGCTACGTGAACTGATTCTCAACCCCCCCCTTTGCTATCCCCTCCCTTTCGCCCGACCCGATCTTCTCCCCGCCCGAGCCAACAGCAGGCACAGCTCGACGAGATCAAGCTGTCCGTGCGCACCAGCGAGTCGGCCTGGTTCGGGACGCTGCGGGCCTCGCGCCGCACGGGGGGAGGGGGCGGAGGAGAAAGAGGAGGAGGGGGGAAGAGGGGCTTCCTCCTGCTCCTCCTCCTGCTCCTCCTCCTCGCTCCTCCTTCCTCCTCCTCCTCCTCCTCCTCCTCCTCCTCCTCCTCCTCCTCCTCCTCCTCCTCACCCCTGTTTCACCCTCCTCCCCCTCCTCTCCTCCCCTCCTCCTCCGCCTCCGCCTCCTCCTCCTCTTCCTCCTCCTCCCTCCTCCTTCTCCTCCTCTCTCCTCTCTCCTCTCCCTCTCCCCTCTCTGCTCCACTTCCCGCCTCCCTCATCCTCCTCTACTCTTCCTCTCCTCCTCCTCCTCCTTGTCGTCCTCCTTCCTCCTCCTCCCTCCTCCTCCTCCTCCTCCTCATCATCATCATCATCATCATCATCATCATCATCATCATCATCATCATCATCATCATCATCATCATCATCATCATTCTCCTCCTCCATTTCCGCCTCCTCCCCCTTAGGACACAGAGAGAGGCGCTTGGAACCCCCTTGTGTCGTCGTGTTGCCTTTTTGGCCCATCTGGGGCCCGTTGTGGCTATATTGGCGGCCGCCTGGGTCATCTTCGTGTCCTCTTCTTCCTGGGTCGTGCTGTGACTCCATTGGGCCTTATTGGGCATCGATCACCCGCCGGGAAAATGGTTGATCATCCCCGCCAGACCCCGAAGTTGATTATCCCCCGGGGATTTCAATCGGGGGCACAGGAGCAAACGATATTCAGTTTGCCCTAGATCAATGTTTTATGGTCCCAGGGCCTGGTAGCGGCCCTCAGAGGGCAGAAATCCAGCGAAAAGTGCCCGAGATTTGGGCTCGTCTTTCATCGCAACGACGTGTCCTCCAGGCCCGGCGGCTCATCCGGTCTTCGCCGAGGATTTGTTTGGGCGAAGGGGGCTCCCAGGGCTGCTACAGTCGGGGCCCGACCACAAGAAACCTCCCACAAGAAACCCAGCCCTAAGACCCCAGGACGTCCATTGATTTTTGGTGTGGGAACTTCACGATTTCCATCGCAGGACCATCGAGGCCCAAGAAAACCCAAGGCACCCTGGAGGCAAACAGGGTGTTTCTTGGCATGGGTTTCCACTGTACAATTTTGCTGCGACGGATCGTGCGGTGAGATCTTGTGGGAGTTCGAGGTCACCGCGTGGTCCGTCACCGCACGGTTTTGCAACGCCCAAGTGTCAGGAGCTGCGACACGGGGGGGATGATGGGTCCAGGTGGAGATGCATCGACCCCCCATCGCCCATTGATCGCCGATGGGGGTCTGATAGCTTCATCTTGCCCAGAAGCGTGCGGATTGGCCATCAGGGTATATCGCCGATCTATTTGCGATGTATCGACGATTTCAGGTCGATGTTTCTCGCCTGAGCCAGCTCTCCTCGGAGTTCGAGGTCACCGCCCACTCCGTCACTCGGCGGCGAAATCCGAACCTTACTCTCGCCGGTCCACGATTCGGGCAACTCGATGGGCGGCGGGGGCAGGGTCGGAAAGTGTCGAACACGTGGCGAAATCCGTATTCTCCCCCCCGCCTTCCATCGATCCAGGAGTGGGGAAACCAAAAGTGCCGATACCGCTACCCCCCATACCTCTCTCCGGGTGCGTTTTGCCCAGGATTTCGAGGCGATTCCAGTGGTGGCGACGCGGGCCTCCCAGGAGGCCCAAAAAGAGGAAAACGAGGTCAGAGTAGCAGTATGGGTACCTTTACACCCTCCGAAAGAGAGTCGATGGTCGGTGGGTGTAGGGTCCAGGGTTTGCATGGAGCCTGTTTTTCTTTGGATTCGGGCAAGTTTACTTGCATGGACGGGGGGGGGCTGAGTCTGAAGCAAGCCGAAAACAACTCGACGTGCGGAAACCACGCAAGTCGAAAGGCACTTGCACGCTCGTGTTCGATAGAAGAGGAGCGAGGGGGGGGGGGGGGGGGGGGGGGGGGGGGGGGGGGGGGCGAACGCCATGCAAGGAAGCTTGCCTGGATCTGAAGAGAAACAGGCTCGGTCACCACCTTCTGGTGTCGGCGCCGGAGCCCCCCTGGCGGCGCCTCCAGCGCCGCCGCGCGCCAGGGAAGAGGGGCCCGGCCCAGCGCCCGACTCGAGAGTTCCGCGCGTGCCTCCGGCAGGCTGTGTGTTTGTCCCGCAAGATTGGCCCGCCTCCCTCGCCAGAGCACGACGCGGACGAGGACGAGGACGAGGACGAGGACTCGAAGAAGAAAAAACGCTATAAACATGAATTTTTGGCGCTCCGCGCGGATTTCTTGGATCTGCGCCAGGACCCCCCTGGCGGCGCCTCCGGCGCCGCCCCTGGCGCGCTCCGCGCGCCAGGGAGGGGGGCCCAGCGCGGATCTAAGAAATCCGCGCGGAGCGCCAAAAGGTAATGTTTATGGCGTTTTCCCTTCGCCTAATGACGGCGGCGAATTGCGTCGGATCCACGTCGGATTCACGTCGGGCCTTAGGTCGGAGCGTCACCCAGCGAGCGCGATGCCACGTCTGACGGGGGAGGTGCCCTCAGGTGCACCTTCGGGAGCCTTCACCCCCAGGATCAGGTGCAGCGGAGGCAGGAGGGGGGCGAGCTCCGGCGGGAGGGCGTCGACCCCCAAGCGCCCACTGAGCGTCGATGGAGCGTCGCATCGTCCCATCTCAGTCGGGCCGGGCGAAAGGGGGGGATTGGGAAAGGGGGGGTTACGAAATCTGCTGCATGCAGCTGGTTTCGGCCTCACCGAGGGGCCCATTCCTCGATACATGGCCGCCTCCGGCGCCGGGAGGCGCCGGGAAAACCAGCTACGTGAGCTGATTCTCAACCCCCCCCTTTGCTATCCCCCCCTTTCGCCCGACCCAACTCAGGAGGGGAAGAAAACACAGACACCATGAATTGTCGACTCCCAGGAAAAGATGGGACAGTATGGGAGGTGGGGGTGAGACGAGCCCCCAGGACATCTGGAAAAACGGATGGTCAGAGCCCCGAATCATCAGGGGTAACTCGGGTCAGGGTTAACTCGGCGGGTTTGTTTTTCGGGAATCCGAACCCGAGTTATCCCGGACCCGAGTTACCCCGGATAACTCGGGTGTCCAGAGCCCCCGAATCATCAGGGGTAATTCGGGTCAGGGATAACTCGGGTTCCTTTTTGCGGGAATCAAAACCCGAGTTACCCCGGACCCGAGTTACCCCGGATAACTCGGGCGTCCAAGATGGGGAATCCTGGGATTTGTATCCGATGAATTGTGTGTCCCCCATGGCTCCTTGACCATCATCCTGCCCCCCTTCTCCGCCTCATGGGCGCCCGCGCTGCGCGAGCTGCTGCGCGGAGCGTGCCAGGGGCGGCGCCAGAGGCGCCGCGGGGGGCGCCCAGCGCGGACCAAAGAAATCCGCGCGGAGCGCCCAAAAGTTAAGGTTCATGGCGCGTTTTCTTCTTCTATGATCGCCGATGGGGCGCCCCACCGTCGAATCTTCCTGCGCCCCCTCTCCGCCTCGAGGCGCCCGCGCGCGCGCTGCCGCGCGAGGCCGTGGCCCTCTGCACCGGCCTGGCGTGCGCCTCGCCCTTCGCGCTCTCGGCGCTCGCCACGGAGGCGCCGGCCTTTCGGGCGCCATCGGTCGGGGTTGCCGCCGCTGCCGCCGCCCTTCGGGCGGCAGCTCACGCCGCTGGCGGTGCCGTGCCCCTCTCGTCAAGTCGGGCAGTTCCCTCGGCAGGAGGAATAGGCAAACATAGTCCAAAAGTAGCTTGGGGACGATGGTTCGATTATTTGTTCCACCTCTTCTGAATATCTTTTGACTATTTGTGTTCTTCCGAGATCTGCCTGCGGGGGAAGATGCCCGACCGAAGCCTTCTCCTTCTCCACACCCCGCTCCCCCCTCTCCTCCGCCGGCGGCAGGGCTCCGTCAGACCCTTGGGGGGAGCGTAATGGGCAATGGGGGGGGGCGATTAATTGGGGAGGAGGCGGCGAGGGCTGCAGGGAAGCGGCCCTTTGGGGCCCCTGGAAGGACCCTTCAGGGCCCCAAAGGGGAGCCCTTTCGGGCCCGAGGAGGACGCTTTTCTTCCCCCCCCCCTACCTTCCTTGTCGCCCCCCCTCCCTTCCTTGTCGCCCCCCCCCTTTTGTCGCCCCCCCTCAACCCCTTTGTCGCCGCCCCCCCTTTTTTGCACCCCCCCCCTTTTTCCTTTGTCGCCCCCCTTTTTGGTCGTCCCCCCCCCCTAACTCGCGTCCAACCTGGAGTCTGGGCGGTTTCGCTCTGCGGACCGGGGCTGGGCTGCTGGCCACCGCCTCCCGCCTGGGGCAGGCTGGGACGCTCGGGGAGAGAGCAGGTGTCCTCGGCACCTCCGCCTCCGGGAGGTGCCTTCGCGTGCGCCGGCGTGCGTCTGTGCGAGAAGGCCCTGCACGGCTTCCCCCGGGGCCGTAGGCGACCCGAGGAGGAGGAGGAGGAGGAGGAGGAGGAGGAGGAGGATGAGGAGGAGGAGGAGGAGAGGATGAGAGGAGGAGGAGAGGGAGGGAGGAGGGAGGGAACGACGAGGGTATGGATGGAGGAGGGAGTGAGGGTAGGAGGTGAGGAGAAATGAGGAGGAGGAGGAGGAGGGGGGAGGAGGGATAGAGGAGGGGGGGGGGAGGAGGAGGTGGAGGAGGAGGAGGAGGAGGAGGAGGAGGAGGAGTCCGAGAGAGTGCCGGCTCGGCGCCGACTCAGCGTCGATTCGCGTCCGTGAGCGCGGATTCGCAGGGGCCAGCAAGGCGAGACGTCGCAGGCGACCCTTCATCCCCAAGCTTTGATTATCAGAAAAAACTGGAGCCGCTCAGAACAAGAGGGAAGCCCTGTACTACACCCCAAGGGGGCTATTCGGACGCGCCCTTATCGAGGATGGACGTCCCCTCCCATCGTATGTCCCAGGGTTGGTCCCGAACTGTTTGGTCCACTCGAACACCCCACGACGCCTGGGATAGGATTGTGATTCGAAAATCCGCCCACGAAGCCTTCCGCCCAACTTTCGCCTGAACCACAAGAAAGAATCTCGAGCACCAAGAAAGTACCGAAACTGGAGTGATTTCACATTTTGGGCTCTGGGAGGCAATACTCGTTCGACATTGTTTCGATGCTTTTCTTGGTGCTCTAATGTTTGTTCCGAGATTTGGTCCGTAAGTGCGATGGGAGCAACAACACTCCGACCGCAGTCTCCTCCGCGCGTGCTAAATCTGAACTTTGGGAAAAGAGGAGGAATGTCTGTAACGCATTTCCTTGGGGGGAAAGAGGGGAAAGAGGGGAGGGAGGGAACGGGGGGAGGGAGGGACGGGGAGGGATGGAGGGCACATGAGGATACCGAAGGAGAAGCGATAATGATGGAGGAGGTGTCGCCTGTTAGGATGGGAGGCCCCCACGGGTTGCCGCAGAGCCGCCGGGGGGGGGGGCGCCGCCGCCGCCCGCCGCGGCCGCCCGTTCCTCTTCCCGCCGCGGCGGCGGCTCGGAGGAGGCCGCCAGCGTGCCGCCTGTGCGGGCCGGCGTGCCGCCTCGGCCCGTGGGCCTCGTCCCACGGGCCGAGGCGGCACGCGGTCCTCCGCAGGGTCCTCTCTCTGGTCCCGTCCTCCTCTTCTCCTCCTCTGCCTCCTCCTCTTTTTTTTCTTCCTCTCCTCCCTCTCCTCCTGCTGCTCCTTCCTCCTCCTCCTGCTCCTCCTCCTCCTGCCTCCATCCTGCTCCTCCTCCTCCCTCCTCCTCTTCCTCACTCCTCCTCCTCCTGCCCCTCCTGCTCCTCCTCCTCCTCCTCCTCCTCCTCCTCCTCGTCCTCCTCGTCCTCCTCCGCCTCCTCTTTCTTCTGCGCTTCCTACTCCTCGCCCTCCCCCAACCACAATGGATTACGCAAGTGTGCATGTCGGTCGCTGACAATAAGTATTCTTGGATCCCCAGATCCCATCTCTATTTCAAGCACCTTCCTGCTTCAAGGACCGAAATGTTGTTGCTGCGTTTTGCTGGAATCAACAGACACCGGTTCCTCAGAGGAGCAAGAGGTCATCATACTAATACGTTCCAAGATTTCCAGGATGCCTCCATGACTTGGCAGATTCCCGGTAGTGTTCCATACGGTCTGCAGAAGAGAGGGCCGCTCGATACACTGGAAATCCTGGAACGTGTCCTGAGTCAATCCTATCATTATATCAATCCCGTCGTAATGATCGTGATGATAGACGCACTCGTGTGATGGGAACAAAAACACGACGGGAGGTTCTTGGCCGTTGTCGTCGGCCTCCCGTGGCCCTGGCCAGGCCCGGGGACTGTCAAACAACGACTCAGGATGGAAAACGGGCCCCAGGGACAAGGTCGGGACGCTCGGGGAACCCGTATTGAAACAATCAGGACGTCGCAGTTTTGGATCACCCAACGAGCACACATTCGATTCGGATGGTCAGGGGCTCCGCCAGCCATAGGCAGACTGTGTCTGCAGGCTCGGGCGCGAGTGACCCCTTGCAGAGCGCTATTCTCTTGGCCCGGCGGACAGCCTACACCAGCATCAGCAGCACCGCGGCCAGCAGCAGCAGCAGCAGTCACTCCGGCAAGTCCGTCGTCCGACGGTTCGTGGCAACAGGTTGGCCACAGTCAGTGGTCCCGTTGGGCGGGTACGATAGAAGATCACAGAAGGCCCTGCTCGTCTTGGACTGTCTGTGTATCGGCGAAGGACGCCCCGGAGTGATCAGCTGCGCCAGATAGCGCCCAGTGGGGCTCCCAGTGGCGCCGAAGAGTGTCAGAACAGCGCCCAGCACAACAAGCAGCATCCAATGGCGCCACCTGGGGGAGAGGCATCGCGTGCGCTCTGCGAGCGATGGGCGTGCTATTGAGCGCCGTGGGGACGACCAACACCTTTGGCGAGTTGCTTCCTCAGATCTCGGGAGCGTCCAAGGGGGGGGGGACGGATTGTTTTGCGGATTCTTGGAGGAAGGTTTTTGGAGTTCGTGAGTGTCTTCTGGCCTCTGGAAAGCATGCGCCTCGTCAAGAGCCTGCTGGGTGTGCCCGGATCGTGCCGAGCTACCAGCAGAGACCGGAATTATGACCCGAAAGCCAGTCGTCGGACCCAGGACCCTTCTCCCAGGTTCATTTTCGATCCGGTCGTTCCGATTATGTGCCTATTTCGCTTGGCTCGATCCGATTCGATTCCGAAATTCTTTCCATCCGATGGGGCCAGATGCTTGCATGGTTCCCCCTAGAATGCACAACACCGCCATGCAGTGCATGGCAGGGTTGTGCATCCTGGCGGAACCAATCAGATTTGATTGCGCTTCCGTGTCGATGCGGACAGATCGACGCAAATTCCAATTCGATTCGATTTCCCGATTCGATGTTGATTGACCCTACCTCCTGCCAGAGTTGCGGGGAGGTCCTTGTCACAAGTCTCGAAAACACAACAACAGCATAGACATTCGAATGTCCGCGCGTGAGCTCTTCGATCTGCGCAGCGCCTAGCGCGCCATGGAGTGCAGATCCAAGGAATCCGCGCAGACCTCAGACAGGTTCTGATGAGGCCGCTTCAGTTCGTTATGTGGACAAGTAGCCGTTGCCCTATCTCAGGTTTGATGCCGCTTTCTGTTCCCCTGTTGTTAGACGACGTGAGCTGCGGCCAAAAAGGTACTACGCGTATCGCGCCGCCAGTTCTGAACCTTAGTGGGCCCTGGAAACGACAGGGCCATTTTTGTATCGGCTCCGTTTTGCCGTTTCTGTTGCCGGTTCTGACGCCGTTGTTTTAAAGGCTCCGTCGCTTTTTTTGTTTGCCGGCTTTGGCTCCGGCTCCAGTTTGGGAGCTGTTTTTGTGGCCGCTTCCGGTCGCCGTTTCCTTGCCGTGCCCGTTTTCAAGAGCCATTTTTTCGGAAGCGGTGGAAGAAGCGGCCCTGCTGCCGTTTCTGGGGCCCTTTCTGGCCCCTCCGCGCCTCGGCGCGGCACGCGAAGAACGCCCCCGTCCCGGGCAGCAGTGTGCCGAGCTTGTCCTTGCGCGCCGCCCCACGGGGCAGAGCGGCACGCCGTCACTTTGCAAGGCGCAGCGCGCTGCGGGGCCGCCGCTGCGACACGCTGAGCAAACGTTCCTCGTCGTATGGCCACTCTTGTCGGTATCGTTTCACCGATGCCCATCTCGATCCCCATGCCAATCCAGACCCCCGGCATCCTTGCACCCCAGTTGGGGACACGCGCCTCGAAACCCGAATGGAACGGCTTATATCCCCATCTAGGGGGTCAATCGGCCTTTGGGGCCCAGGCCACGTTCGTGGGGATAGGGGTCGGTGAAACGATGCCCATCTTGGTGGGGCTTGGAAAGCGGCAGGCTTCTTTCCACCGCTTCCAGGAACTGGGCGCTTGCTCAGGGAAAGCTGTTGAGACGTTGCGCGCCGAAGCGGGCAGCAACCTGGCGCCAGAAGCGAGGGCCGGGACTGCGACGGGGCCGGACACGCCAACGGCCACGGATTTGCACAAAAAAGTGGAGACCCGGAGATGGTGCGAACGAGTCGGCCTTGCCGTTGCCAAGGCCCTCTGAGAGCGTGCGGCTGCGATGCTGCGCGAGATCGGCGCCGTGCTCGGGCGGGGCCCCGACTGTGGCCGGGCCCATGTTGGA